TTGTCACGATCTGGAAGACAGAGGGGGGTTCGGTTGGTTCTTGTTACCTCATGATCTCCAGTTGGTATGACTGGAACACTATTTGCAATTGATGAACGTACTTCAACTTCATTGATAAGAAATTTGTGTAACTCTTTTTTCCATAAGTTTAATCGGCCTTCAAACCTTTTTTTCTCCAATAACTTCCATGCAGCCGTATCATCGATGGGTGGTTCTTTCAATGGCTCATTTATATCTCTGTCATCCCTTCTGTCAACACGCTCCATGTTAGCAAATGTGAGGACAAAGACAGCATGATTCCAGAACCCCTGACCAAATGCTTCAGTTAGCTTCTTCATTGCTTTCTTGTCGTCATCTCCCAATCGTGTGTTGGTCATCTTAGTGCAATAGAGAACCAAACTTAACTTTTTGCACTTTTGTTTCATTTTTGCAATATATTCCTCTTCATTTGACAAGCTATCTTGCAGGCCAGGAGAATCAAAAACTACAACTGGCACGCCATTGATCTCTTTCTCAAATTCTTCAACTTCTGTAGTACATCTGTCAGCACCAGCTCCTTCTCTGGCAATGCTAGCCCCCAGTAAACCATTTATAAGAGTGGACTTTCCTTGACCTGTCTTCCCAGTGACTAGTATCCTCAGCTCTTTACCACCAGAGTTACTAGTTAGTGCCCCTTCTCCATACTTATTAATCAAGTCAGCTTGCATCCCTGATATCTCTCCAGGTACCTCCTGGACGGATTGCAAGAGCTTGCCCTTCACTTCTCTTAGCTTTGGCGCGTAATACATGAACTTCTGGAAAATATTATAATCTGACGGTGCTGGCGGCTTTGTTTCAGACATGATTCCAGCATATATACTAGAGCAGGTAGCAAAATCGTCTTAGAGCCCGAGCTATTTCTTCTTGGCATATAGATACTGTATCTATGTTTTTGGCCTGCGCAGCAGCGCAAGCCGTATGCGCAAGGGCCGGCGCGGTTTTACAATCATAAAAAATGTCACCTAATCACCTAATACAATTAGTTCCGAAATTAAGTTACCTTTTTTATACATCATAACACATAAAACTCACTATTTATGCTTAGCTAGCTGAGCCGGCCGGGCTGAGACCCCACACACCACAGGGCCAATATAAAACTCCCCTCTGCCCCCTTAAATGTATACATTGTAAATTCCAATCAAAGAACTAATTTGATTTTATTTTACAAATAAAAAAACAGTTGCTATGCATGGCAAATAGAGTTACCGTATAGCAGGAAGCATCTAAAATGTGACGGTGAGTTCTATTTTAGTCAATCAATTGTATGTGTCAACCAGTGACCTAAAATATCAATGCCTTGTCATTTATCATTAATCTAATAAAAGTATACTTTGTATGTTCTTGGTAGCATCTTCAGCAGTGACATCAGTCAAAGACGTAAATGTTATGCTATAGACTTTGTTTGGATTCATTAAAAACCCATTATCACTAACAGCACTGTACAATAAAGTATAAAACAAATAACTTGTAAAAAATGATCTCACGTGAAATAATTATACTTGTGATCCATTATCCAACATTACATAAACTGCAGTTGCATCAGATTGGAGACTGAACTATTATTATCAAGAAATTATTTAGTCAAATGACTACACATAATCGATGCTATATAAACTTACTGATACTTCATTTGAAGATAAAGATGTCATATTACTGATTGTTAGTTATTCTAGCTTGAGGAAGATTAGCTTTTGTGAAATTTCCAGGAAAGAAATAAGTTGAAGCAAGAATCTTGTTATCTGAACCATCTGCAGCAATTAAAATGATATTTGTATTCTTAAAAACTGAGCATAACCTTCAGCAAGAGTACTCTTGCCTTCAGTTATCCAAATATGTAGATAAGCATCATTTACTGTAACACTTCCTTGAAATATATCACTAATCTTGTATTCAGCTACTTGTGTTCCTGTAAATCCTTCAGACTTACGGTTTGGTACTTTCTTCTGAGATACTGTTTTACTCTACACAGCATACACAATCAATAGCACATTGTGTCTTACTGATAAAGAATATTTAATAGACATCTATCGATTATCAACAATCCCATAGATTCCTATTGATTTATCCATCTGATATGCTGACAATGAGACATCAAAATAAATCTTAAAATAAATGAATACTGATGCACTATATAGTCAAGTACTTTCTTCATAGCATAATCCAGCAACTTCCATCTTCCAACATATTTCAGCTTTGTGTAGTGTCCTAATACCGGTATTGGAGAACAAGAGCATTAAGTCTTGAAAACTATAAATTGTTCGAAGAGATTTTTTATTATATTTTCTGATGCATATATACATGTACTTATGCTGTGTTGAAAGTTTGAGCTCATGCATAACAATTAAAATTGAAATTTTTATAGTTCCTCAAAAATTGAGCTAAGCAGGGACTTTGGCTAAATTTTTGTCAAAAATTAAAATTAGAGAATTCTAATTTTTCCTGATACAGATACATGTTATTATGTTGTGAGCGGATTCTGATTATGATTGTGATTCCAATTTTGATTTCACAAAAA